TACATAATATGCATTGCAATGTCAAATATTAATTATAACAGTGTCCATTAAAGTGCACATAGGAACATGCAAAAGACACTGGACTATGTTTTATTGCTCTTGGTTAGCATAAGGATTAAAAATACATCACACAGATATCTTACACTGTGATCTCTTGCTATACTGTCAGTGTCTAAAGCATATAGCTGAATAAATATATTGAATATCTTTTGATAATTTCAGGTCATTCATAGTTGACAGAGATATATGTGAAATCAATGCTCTCCTTTGTTGGTACCATGTTCTTCAGGTATGTTTAATTTTATGAGATAAACAAATAAAACTCTTTCACAGCATGTGTAGATCTGATTATTGTAGTATTTTATAAAAAGAAATGCTAACATAGCTTTCTCCTTTACAAGTACGTTGGCTGATGAAGTCCGATTCAGGAGTCAGTGGACCCTTCAGTGCAGGCTCTAGAAAAGCAACAATAGAGTCCTTCAGAAGAATATAAGACTACTTTACACATTTCTCAGTTTTTTTTTACTTTTTTAAAAACAGTAAAGTAAAACAGACAAACAAAAAATTATATACCACATTTGAGCATCCATGTCATCAAGCCATCTTCCATCTTTAAATGACTGAAACGATGTCTTCACAATCATCATTCCACTAGGAATGTGGTCCAATCTGTAGAGATAATTAAATACCCAAGAAAACACATGATACCATTATGCTTGATCAGAATACAACCAGCACTGAGAATCACCATCATGTAGTCAGAGATTACAGCCTATCAATGTAAAATGGAATGCATGTGTCATCCAGCCATCCTCTAGCTCTATATAACTGTTCAGGTTTTTTTTATTATAATTTTGAACAAGAACATTTTTTGGATGGTGGACTATTCTCAACAGCAGCGGTCTTGATGTGTAAAAATCCAGCAACACTGTTAAATCCACCATACGAGTACCTGTGTCTCTACTGTACTGATCTACCACTGTCTAGTCAACAGCAGGTCCAGAAACTGACCAATAAGTACAGGGGTTAAAGACAGCTGATAAAATATGCATGACAACATATGGCTACAGCATCTACAGTGGACCACCAAAATAAAGTGTAACTAAACATTTTTACAAGCAACATCAAAAATAGAAAAAGAATACACACAGTCCATTACAAAGCTATTTTCTAGGCCTATTACTATCTTCTTATTTATCATCCTGAAAAATCTACAATTATTTCTCTCAATAGTTTTTTTCTGTTAAAACGTTTTATGATATCCATGGGTTTTCCTTACACTTTTTGAACTGCTTAGCCTTATGTATTTTAATGTAGCAAATGCACAACATTTCCACCTTAAGGTAAGGGCTGTATGCATATTCAAAACAAGAATGCTTTGGCTGGCACTTTGGAATGCTTTGGAAAGAATGCTTTGGCTGGCAATTGAATGAAGAGATGTTAAACCTACATATATTTCTGCTATGATATAGAGTATAATTTGATGTCAACAAGGTTATGTTTATCATATATTAATATACTGGAGTTTAAAGTTTGTACAAAGCTTTATCATTTTGAGCTTTTTTATCATTTTTAATACTTGGACACAAATCATTTGACCGCCTGAATCTGGAACCCACAGACTAACTGGATATCCAGAATGGATACGTCCATGAACTGGATTAACTGGCTAAACAAGATCAAAACAGTCAATAATATTACTGACTGGTTATCCAGGATCAATATGGTCATAAACTGGATTAAGTGCTTATCCAGGGTCAGTACAGTCATGAACTGGATTAACTGCTTATCCAGGATCAGTACAGTCATGAACTAGATTAACTGGCTATCCAGGATGAACACAATCAATAAAGCAAGTAACTGGCTATCCAGGATAAATAGCATCAATAGCAGGATTAAAGTGCTATCCAGGATCAATACAGTCGTTAACTGGATAGTTTATGACTGTATCGACCCTCCAATAAATCTAGTCATCAACAAGATTAACTGACAATCTAGGATCAATAATGTCAATAAAAGGATTAATTTGCTATCTCAGATTAACACAGTCATTAATTGACTATCTAGGATCAGCAACTATTGGTTACCCATGACAAGCAGCTCATCATGCTAGCATTCTAACTAGATAAGCTTTAGGTAGCTCATAATTTGACCTGTTATGTATTTGTGAATGTTGTCAAACAAATCCTTAAAAAAAAATCACACTTTCCTTAGTTTTACTGTTTGCTAAACACAACCTAACTAACAAAATAGCCAGTTAGCAATGCTACATGGTAAGATAACTGACTAGCCTGTATGAGAGACTCAACATTATCTATCCACACTATCTGTCTGTTGATGAAATGACTTTAGTAAAATTTTGTACCCATTTGTTTTATGCTAATACATTTCAGTATAGAAAAAGCTCATAGACAATGTATTTGTGGAGTTACCTGTTGCTCTGCACGAGCAGGAGGCACTGGTCGGAATTTGAAAAACAGCAAAGGTGCAGGCTGATGATGTCAGAAATCGTTGATTGGACGATAGTGGTGTTTATCCAGGAAAAGAAAAGAAATGATTGTCCAGGATGAGGCGCCACTTATGAAAATCACAACGTGCGTCAGATGCAATACCTGCCTTCATCACCAGAGGTCAGCCTCACCTGAGTATTAAATTGCTCCCTAGTGACACACCTTGACCTATCTCACCTGCATCTCATTAAACTCCCTTTATAGGGACCTTCACTCTCACTGGATCTCTGTGAAGTATTGCCAGTTCATCTGTGTACCAAGCCTTGTTTGTTCTCAGCTGTTTTTTTGGATTGTCTGGACCCTTTTCTGAACTCTTTGACTCTGTTTTTTGAACTCCTTTGGTACCCTCGCTGTGTTGTGATCTATTCTGGTTTTTTGACTTTTTGGACTGTCTCTGACTCTGATTCTGTTTTTTTGTGATTTTTGATACTGTGTTCTGAGTAAATGGGAATCATGGATTCAACCCCATCTGAGGAGTCTTCATTACAGTATCATTACTGAGTGCAGCTCTTGTGCGTGCTATTAAAAGTGGAATTCTTTAAAATTCCTGCAGAATTAAGTGGTTAAACACAGGCTAAAAGCTTCCTTATATAAAGTAACTTCATGAAATGGTTATACAGCACAGTGCCTGATGTCTGAGACATTGTTTCATGATGGTTTTAAGACAAGCTTTTGTCATGTACCAGAGCAGAAAATGCATAGTCCCCAAAGAATTTTTTACCCTGATTTACTACTATTTTACTAACATTACATGCATAAACTCAGGACACATGTAGGTTCACTGGTCATTTTTTCTGTCACCTGCCTGAGTCAGTTTCTCTACAGGGCACCATTTCACATAAAAACCCTCTGAATGACTGTTTACATCTTAATGACTGAATTTTGCAATTATTAAAAAATTGGTGGAATATCCCTTTAAGCAGGTATAGCATGTGAGTGTACATACAGAAACCATGTGACTTTGAGACACACCACACAGACTCTTCTGTATCTGTCATGATCTCACTTCTTTAGAAGGCATCGAAGGTCCGCTTTTAAAAACACTCTAAAACAGAGGAGAGTATGTGCAGTTCTGACTGTCATCTACTTCAGTTTCCCAGGTGACGCTGACTGAACAATGTCTCTTCTTACCAGCTTTCACCCAGAAACATGGTTTGTGAGTCCAGGCCCTTCACCTGTGGGGGTCGTATGAGGGCAGACTAACTGAGGTAGAGAACTCTGAGAACTCAGACTGGATGCATTTAAGAAAGAGAACAGAACTGGAGATGAATGAGGATCTGTATGCAAACACAGCAGACAAGAGATCAACTGATTCAAACAACAGCAGGAGCTCTTATGAAGAAATCTATGCCAATGAAGCTGTTCTGGACACTCCACTGACCAGAAGCCATAGAGGAACTATGACCTCAGGTACTGTTTATTTGTTTGTTAATAGTGTTTATTTTCACACACATGAAATCATTCACTACAAAGGGGCTCAAAGCTTTTTGTCTTGGGGGGCTGAAGTACAATGTTTGTGGTGGACCAACTGCCGAAAAGGCAAAACAATTTAGAAGGTAGGTAGATTTCAGAATTTTATATTTCATATATTTTATGTTATTTTTTTTAAAAGCTGTATTTTATAACATTGACTGAGGGGGGAGAGGTTGGGGTAACTGTGACAGGCTAAATCAGACATCATCACAGGTCAATTTTGGGCAGCCCTGGCCTACATAAATAAATATATGTCTTACATGTTTACAGAAATATGTTTATATTGGAATCACTTCTGGGAGAAACAGTGATATCTGATTGTCAGTTAAACCTGTTGCTGGTATATTATACAGAAAAATGTGTATAACTGATTATTGTTGAATCTGCTTTGAGATGGTGTTTGGTGCCCTCTTGTGGATAATTATGATGCGACACCCAAATTCAGCCTGTTTAAAATGAGAAATCAAGGTTCTTTCAGAAGATTATGAGCTGATCATACTTGTGTGTTTTGTACTGTTATTGCTCACTGACTGATACATTAGAACTGTATAAACTGGAACTGATATCTGATCCTCAGTCAGGCACACCTCCACTGTTCAGTCTTAGAAGTTGGTTGAATTTTCTGCTTCTCACAATCAAATAAATCCCAAACACATTCAGTGATGTTGAGGTCTTTAATCTCTGGATTCAAGGTGAGCACTAACCTTTTGTAATCCCTCTTTACTACCAAATACAATTACTTTTGTGTTGGCTTGTTTAACGGAAGGAACTTGACACAGAGTGTCTATGGGACTGTAGTCATTTGGTGAGAGAGTTAGTAAATCTGGGTGTCGTCAGTGTAACTATGATAATCATCAGCTCTGTCTCTTCTAATTAATGTGAAACCTTGGGTCTCTTACTGACAGACACTATTACACAGTTCTGTGGTGTCTGTTTCAGTGAGTACAGTTTAAAATACTGATCTTCTTTATTAACAGTAGACGTGTTTATCTAGATGGTCTAGGTAGTTTTGGCTGTTGTGATTAATGATTTAAGCCTGAGCAAAAGATTAAAATGAAGTTATTAAAGAGTCGACTGTACATTTCTAGAAAACTGATTGAAGTACTACTAGAAAGTCCACCATTATGACTGTCCTGCTGAAACAAAACCACACAGACCAGCATGCATTCCATGGTCTAAGCTGGTCTGTGCTGGCTTATGCTGGTTTGGTGCTGGTTTAGCTGGTCATCCATCATGGTCATGCTGGTTTTGCTGGTGACCAGCCTTGATAGTCTATGCTGGTTTTAGCCCCCCTTCATTTAGAAGATAATGGTTTCAGAATGACTCTACTCCAAAGTCCAGGACAGACTGAACTGTCAGAAACATTAAAGCTTGATGTTTTAAAGTTATTTGAAGGATCTTGTTACACACTTGCCATCATCTTCAAACATACAATTTATTTTTTTTCAATTATAGGAGTTTGTAGCACTGTTAGTCTCTTACTTGCCTACCCTGTTTCTCTTCTACAAAGTAGAAATAATAAGCAAAAAGGTCAAATGTAATTAAAAGAGTGACATTTATGAATGTGTTGTTATTCACTCACATGCTGGTGACCATTTAGATAAATATTCCCTCACAGATCCAGACAAACTGCTGACATTCCTGATATTCACTGATATTCATTCTAAAACTCTATCAGTTTAAAATACTTTTCTCACAAATCCAAACAAACCGGTTATTACAGGGAAAATCAGCCCAGTTATTTACAGGATCAGACTTGTCACCAGTTATGACACAGTCCTCATTTCCTACTTTACTGTTGGGTTCCCCACGTCCCCAGAACCTGAAAGAGAGAATCAGAGAATCCACTGTGTTTATCAGAGCAGTGAGGAGTGACAGTCATTAACTGCACCATTATCACCAGTTCAGTTCAGTGATCTCTTACTTAGTGGTCAGTGCTGAACCATCCACCCATTTCCAGACCCCCTCTGTCTCACTGTCAGTCAGACCAATCCAAGCTGTCTGATCTCCTCTCTGTCTTTCAGTAAAATCCTGTTAACAATCAGATGTAGATTCTCAGTAACAGAGAGGAAAAATTAATTTACTGAACACATATTTGTGCTTGTATGGCCTGATATAAATAACCATCCCATCTCTCTCTCTCTCTCTCTCTCTCTCTCTCTCTCTCTCTCTCACCTGTTCTTCTCTGCTGTTTATGATCAGCAGGTCTGCTCCTCTCTCTCTGCAGTCCCGTCTGCTCTCACTCCAGCTCTTCTTCACAGTAGAGATGAAGTACATACTGGTGTTGAAAAATGTCCAACACTGCTGTGCTGCCTTCTCTATGTATTGAACACAAACACACACATTCCTCACATTAAAAAGAAATTACTGTACTGGTATTTATTTTGCATTGTGGGATATACTGATATGGGAACTGAGGGATGATGATGGTTTGATGTTTTTGATTGAATTGTGTGGCAGATTTTTCTGATTTAATAAGTGGGTCAAAATTATTGTTTATGTTAGATGACTGTAGGCTACAGACAGATTAATCCAGCTTAGAGGGCTATCCTCTGGATATATTGCTGTGTTCCACTTTATCTGTTACCAAAATACACTATATTTCCAAACGCATTTGCTCGTCTGACTTCACGCGCATATGAACTTGAGTGACATCCCATTCTTAATCCATAGGGTTTAATATGATCTCGGCCCACCCTTTACAGCTATAACAGCTTCAACTCTTCTGGGAAGACTTTCCACAAGGTTTAGGAGTGTTTATGGGAATTTTTGACCATTCTTCCAGAAGCACATTTGTGAGGTCAGACACTGATGTTGGACAAGAAGGCCTGGCTCACAGTCTCACATAACTGAAACCCATGAAAAGTAATATTACTTCAAATATCTGTGCCAGTCTGGACCACAACATTGAGGTTGGGCTACGTCTGTTTAATTCTTGGTTTAATAACTTGAAATATGTTAACTTTGTAAATCAAATTTATATAATATTGTTTCCATCATATTAAAAAAGAAACCTTTATATCCAGAAGTGCAGCTACAGTGTGCAAACAGTCACTGTAGCTCAATGTGTTACTTCACTACATTGTATTAATGCTGGGGGAGATGAGTGGTTCCACAGAGCAGCTTATTATAACATCAATATTGTCTAACTGAGAGAACCGATAAATGTGTTATCATTAGCAAACTAACATAAAACTGGTCCAACTCAGCACAGTTTCATTGTACATCTGAAAACATTAAGAGCGTATAAAATTCACTAACCCAGTTCAGAAAGCTTCCTCTGGAGTTCGTCTCTCTCTTTCTGTAACTGATCTCTTTGTATCGTCAGGCTGGTGTAGCTCTCTTTAGTTTGGTTGTTACATGTGGTCTTTTTCTGGTCACTCACTGAAAGTAATAGAGAATTATTGCTGAAATCATGGAGCCAAATTCTTCATATGTGCACTTGCACTCAAAAAGTGTTGCTCAGACATTTTTCAACATACTGATTACTGACAAACATCAAGAAATGAATGGAAGTAGGGAAATGAGAGTGTCTGGATAAAGCATAGTCATTTACAAATTCAGGTGTAATCCCAGCAAAAAAAAAAACAAAACATAAAAGTAAAACATATTAGTGCCTAGCAGTGACTCTGATATGTGTAAACTTGTTTTCACTTAAAAAATCAAAAATAATTCAATAACTGTTGAAACCCCCAAAGGGTTTAATATGATCTCGGCCCACCCTTTACAGCTATAACAGCTTCAACTCTTCTGGGAAGACTTTCCACAAGGTTTAGGAGTGTGTTTATGGGAATTTTTGACCGTTCTTCCAGAAGCACATTTGTGAGGTGATGTTGGACGAGAAGGCCTGGCTCACAGTCTCACGTAACTGAAACCCATGAAAAGTAATATTACTTCAAATATCTGTGCCAGTCTGGACCACAACATTGAGGTTGGGCTACGTCTGTTTAATTCTTGGTTTAATAACTTGAAATATGTTAACTTTGTAAATCAAATTTATATAATATTGTTTCCATCATATTAAAAAAGAAACCTTTATATCCAGAAGTGCAGCTACAGTGTGCAAACAGTCACTGTAGCTCAATGTGTTACTTCACTACATTGTATTAATGCTGGGGGAGATGAGTGGTTCCACAGAGCAGCTTATTATAACATCAATATTGTCTAACTGAGAGAACCGATAAATGTGTTATCATTAGCAAACTAACATAAAACTGGTCCAACTCAGCACAGTTTCATTGTACATCTGAAAACATTAAGAGCGTATAAAATTCACTAACCCAGTTCAGAAAGCTTCCTCTGGAGTTCGTCTCTCTCTTTCTGTAACTGATCTCTTTGTATCGTCAGGCTGGTGTAGCTCTCTGTAGTTTGGTTGTTACATGTGGTCTTTTTCTGGTCACTCACTGAAAGTAATAGAGAATTATTGCTGAAATCATGGAGCCAAATTCTTCATATGTGCACTTGCACTCAAAAAGTGTTGCTCAGACATTTTTCAACATACTGATTACTGACAAACATCAAGAAATGAATGGAAGTAGGGAAATGAGAGTGTCTGGATAAAGCATAGTCATTTACAAATTCAGGTGTAATCCCAGCAAAAAAAAAACAACATCATAAAAGTAAAACATATTAGTGCCTAGCAGTGACTCTGATATGTGTAAACTTGTTTTCACTTAAAAAATCAAATATAATTCAATAACTGTTGAAAAAGTTATCATATTTAGTTATTGAGGCTTGTTTGCTTTGTGTTTTTTTCCTGATCCTGACAAATAAGAACTTATACTTAATAACATTTTAATTGAAAATGAAAATGATGAAAGGGATTATGGTCGCAGGGCTTGCAGGGAGTTGATGTGTATCTGAGCAAATATTTTTGACGTCCGCTGTACATGGATAAAAACAAGAATATATCAGTGTGTTCCAGTTCATAAAGTGTTTTAAAGTATAAAAGCTGAACTTACAGTACAGTCTCAGAGCAATATTGAGAGTTGCCTGAAGGATACACATCACACCGAGACACAGTACAGCCAGCCTGAACACTCCTAAACATCAAACACACACAAATACACATTTAACAGACTAGTGAGGTTAATGAAACTGAAATGGCTCTTTGTGTGTGGACGTGTGGGTCAGAATCGAGTACTTACCTCTGTGTTGATTTTGTCCGCATGACTGAGAGGTTTTGTCCACTTTTTCCATGTTCTGGTACTGAAGAGGTTCATTCTGAATGTCCATTTCCATATTAATGACTATAATACACTGGAACACTGCAGCACTTTAACCCTACAGGATCATAAACTTGAAGCAGATTGACTGACACTGCAGACAGGAAGTGTCTCTGCCACGTGTAGCTTTTCTATTGGCAAGAGAGTGTGTTAGATAAAAAAGAGAAATGAGAAAATGACACTGCTCCAGTGTTCAGTGGTGGCATGCCAGCCAACCCTTGGCGTAGTGACCTTAGAGCTTGTGTGCTGTGGTGTGGACACATTTCACGAAGATCCCAATGCACAGTTCTTGTGCCGATGTTGCCTGAAGAGGCAGTTTGGAACTCTGTAGTGAGTGATGCAACAAAGGATAGGTGATTTCTAGTCTTCAGACTTGGTGTCACATTTGAAGTCACTGAGCTTTTCAGTACGACCCATTGTACTGTCAGCGGGACAACTGCACATTACACTTACAGGAGTTTTATGACATCCCACTCTAAATCCATAGGCATTAATATGGAGTTGGTCCCCCACTTTGCAGCTATAACAGCTTCCACTCTTCTGGGAAGCTTTCTACAAGGTTTAGGAGTGTGTCTGTGGGAATTTGTGCCCCATTTATCCTGAGGAGCATCTGTGAGGTCAGACACTGATGTTGGACGAGAGGGCCCGGCTCACAGTTTCCATTCTAGTTAATCCCAAAGGTGTTCAGTGGGGTTGAGGTCAGGGCTCTGTGAGGGCCAGGCAAGTTCTTCCACACCAAACCCACCCCAGCCATGCCTATGAGCCTTGTTTTGTACACTGGGGCTCAGTCATGCTGGAACAGAAAAAGGTCTTCCCCAAACTGTTCCCACAAAGTTAAAGAAGCTTAGAATTGTCCAAAATGTCTTGATATGATGAAGCATTAAATTTTCCCTTCACTGGAACTAAGTGGCCTAGGCCAACACCTGAAAACAACCCCATAACATTATCCCTCCTCCACCAAACTCTGTTGGCACAATGTAGTCAGACAGGTAACGTTCTCCTGGTTTTCATCAGACCATCCAGATAGACAGCGTGATTCATCACTCCACAGAATACGTTTTCACTGCTCCAGAGTCCAGTGGCAGTATTCTTTACACCATTCCCCCTGACGTTTGGCATTGTACATTTTGATCTTAGGCTTGTGTGCAGCTGCTCGGTCATGGAAACCCATTTCAAGAAGCTCCTAACGTACAGTTCTTTTGCTGAATTTGCTTCCAGAGGCAATTTGGAACTCTTTAGAACTGCATTATTATTTTATTTTTTATTTTATTATTATTATCATCACATTTTAAGGATAACTGAATTAAAACATTTTTGTTCAAGACGGAATTATTTACAACTGTTTGCTGTTGTCCAGAAGATTATGGGAGTTGTAGTGAGCGGAGTCGACGAAGGCAGAGGGAGGATCCCAGAAGTGTGACACCTAATTAAATCAGTATGTCAAACTGCAGTCATGATGACAGAGCTACACGACTGTATCACAGGAAACAGATAAATGCACAAAATTTAATCTTAAAAGATTTCTGAAGGTAAAGATTTCTAACTCTGTTGTCATGTTTTCATTTATCTCTTAATCAGAACATCAAATTTAGACTAAAACAGACTTACATCAAAGAGCAGCTTATCAAAATTTGATGAATGTCTGATTTACAAAATTTGACAATTGTGATTTGTGATTATCTTTTACCTTATATACATTGGATTTTTGTTTTGATTAGTTGCCAAATGCCCTTTTTATGTCTTCCCCTGGCCAGTTACGACACAGTCCTCTTCTTCTGCTCTACTATTGGGTTCTCCATGGTGCCAGAACCTGAACGAGAAGGTGAGAGTATGCACTGGGGTTTTTAATAGAGCAGTGAGGAGTGAGAGTCAGTAACTGCATCATGACCAGAGTTCAGTCCAGTGATCTCTTACCCAGTGGTAAGCGCTGAGCCATCCAGCCATCTCCAGACCCCTCTGTGTGTTCTGTATTCTGGTATTTTTATCCACTATTCCTTGCAGAACCACTTCAGTTCTGCCGTTTTCTTGGGCAATTTTGTATCCAGAACATGATTGAAAATCTTTGTGTGTATCGTGATGTTCAGGTCAGGGCCATTCCAAAAGCTTCAGCTTGGGTCACATATTTCATCATATTCAACAGCCATGACGAAAAATTCCCATTTCCAGCAGCAACATTATGCATACTGTAGCGGTAAGTGGAATGATCCATTAAGAGTTCTATTTTCCCAACTTTTGCTGTCGACCACAGTGGTGAAATAAACCAGATGTTCATTTTTTTGAGCCATGGATGCCTAACATTTCGTTGTTGAATTCCAGATAAACCCAGTATTATACCAAAAAATAACAAAAAATAAAAGTACAGAGTGTCTTCTGCCTCTAGCTGTTTTACTGCTAAAGCTTTCCTCTGATGATGAATTACTACCATGCTTAACAGTTGACAAGGTGTTCTTTTCATCAGATGCTGCTCCGGTATATGCTGTGTATATGCTACATCCACAAGGGTGTGCTTGAAAGGCAAGGGAAAGTAATTGAAGGACGAATTACATGGAAATCAGAAGACAAAGCTGGACTCAAATGATGTCTTGAGTAAAGAACTATACGCCACTGAGCAGATTGGCTCAATGCAGGAAAAAGAAAAAAGTGGTATGTCAAATAACAAATCTACCACACATCTTAGCAACGATAGCCACGGTGACTGAGCCCAGTGACTGAGTGGATCAGCAATATGGTCATTGTCAAGAAATCTGAATTGAAGCTATGAATTTGCATTGACCCAAAGTATCTCAATAAGGCCATTCGCCGCTCACATTACTTTATGCTGAAAATGTGCTACATAAACTGCCCAAAGCCAAGATCTTCACACTGGTGGATGCCAGGGAGACATTTCTTCAGTGCAGTCTCACTGAAGAAAGCAGCCATATGGTGACCTTCTGGATGCCTCAGGGAAGGAAATGGTGGCTCAAAGTCCCTTTTGGGGTCTCTGTTGCCCCAGAGGTATACCACAGCAAGCAGCACGAGCTTCAAGCAATAACAACAGGTTATTTTTATGGCATGGTGGCAATAAGGTCTCCTTATTTGTTGTCTTTCTGTTCCACTCTTCAGAAAAAAATAACTTTCTGGCAAACTGTTACTTTCATGGGGTGGATTAATGTAAAACTACTTTTCTGCACTAAAGAATTGTCATTTCTAAATGTTTATTGATTTTTTTAAGCCAGTTTTTAAGGCCCAGCCCTTCGTTCCAAAGCAGTTTCCTGGTTTCTCTCTCTCTCATCTGTTCATCTCTTCTGTTTATGATCAGCAGGTCTGCTCCTCTCTCTCTGCAGTCCTGTCTGCTCTCACTCCAGCTCTTCTTCTCAGTAGAGATGTAGTAAATATTAGAGTTGAAGCAGGTCCCCTCCTGGTTTTCTGATGGAAGACACAATCCTTCAATGGATAGATCCTCTGTTGTTGGTGTCTGTATGTTGAGGCTCTGCAGTATGATGCAGTTTATACAGTGCATTTTCTTTTGTAAACCCAAAATGCTACATTCAGACATTTCACTTCTTCGTTTACAATTACAAACATTCTCTCACCCAGTTTAGAAACCTTCTTCTTGAGTCAGTTTGGTTTAACTGGTCAGTAACTGGTATCTCTCTATAGTCTGGTTGGTGTAATTGGCCTATAACTGGTCTCTTCCTACAGTCAGGTTGGTGTAACTGGTCAGTAACTGGTCTCTCTCTGCAGTCAGGCTGGTGTAGCTGGTCTCTCTATAGTCAGGTTGGTGTAACTGGTCTGTAACTGGTCTCTCTCTGCAGTGAACTTGATCCACAGCACTGTGGTGGCAGCCAGCAGAACACACAGCAGCCCCAGAAACATCTGCTTCCTGCAGCATCAATTCCTGAAACTAGAATTGATTTTATAGTACGTACTTATGCCATTACACAATTTAGAACCTTCCTAGAAATGTACTGATCAGGGAAACCATTAGCTATAACCATATTTATGTGTACTTGAGGTTGCAGATTAACATCACATGTCACATTAGTCTCCAGAATGTCTTCATTTACATAGAAATCTTCATGTGAATTCTCGCTTTCAGTTGAATGAGTCAATCATTTCTCTGCTGTAATTCCTGAATTTCTATATATATCCTCTCTCATCTCTGGTTCTGTGCTCTTCTGTAATAATGCTGGAACAAGTGGTAAAATGAAACAGATTTCAGTCTTGTCTCTTTTAATAATTGCAGACTACAGTCACCACAGTGCCGAGCCCTCAGAGTAACTCTGTGGTATTTAGCAATCTATGTGCTGTTCTCAGAACAGGAAGCTGAGGTGAGAGCCAGCGTATACAAACCACACCACCATTATTGCTTTTGCTTTTGACACTCATGGGCGTCACTATAGATTGATAGAAAGAGAACTAAGCCTTGACTGAGGGGGGTGTGGGGGGATGTTTTTTAATGGCCCCAAAATGGGTTTTCATCATGAACTTTTAAAGTAGCAATAGGCAGAAAATTGATCAAAGAATTTGATAATTGAGAGATTTTGCATGAAAATAGCTCCTAACGTACAGTTCTTTTGCTGAAGTTGCTTCCAGAGGCAATTTGGAACTCTTTAGTGAGTGATTCAACAGAGGAAAAGGACTGTGCTCTTCGGTTTGCGGTGGCCCCACTCTGTGAGTTTGTGTGGTCTGCCGCTGTTGTTGCTCCCAGATGCTTCTATTTCACAATAATAGCACTTACAGTTGGCCGGAGCAGGACAGAAATTTCACAAACTGACTTGTGACAGAGGTGGCATCTTAGGACAGTGTCATGTTCAAAGTCACAAACAAAATAGAACAAAAAAAGCTGAAGTGAAATCTTTGTTTTCCATCTTTGGAGACATCTTTGTTTTACATTTAAATGTATCTGTCAGATGCAATACAATGAGTTCACTAGTATAACCCATTCCACTGCCTGTCTTCATCCATGGGGACTGCAAGCCTATGTGCTTGATTTTATCCACCTGTTAGCAATGAGTGTGACTAAAACACCTGAACTCAATAATTAGAAGGGGTGTCCCGATACTTTTGTGCATAGAGTGTAACTTTTTAAACAGGTACCGTCATCTCGTTGTGCATCTGTTGTAGCCATAAACTGCAGAAAGAAAATG